TTATTTATTCTTCAGAGGTGAAACTTTAAACTAAAAAATAATGCGGAGCAAACGAACTGTGTCGCACCAAGCCCAAAAATCAAGAGAGAGAGGATTACACAAAATATAAAAATGCCTGGAGGCAGGGTTGTAAAAAATTCCCTTTTGTTTGGTGCTGACGCATTAGAAATTAGATAACGAAAATGAGACGTTGCCGTGCTTAACTTATAAGATTAGATACACATAAATAATAGTAAATATAATAAAGAAAAAATAAAAGAAAAGGACTCTAAATTAATGTGGATTGGACAAATGTTTAGACGCCTATGGATTCCCACGTGACTTCCAAGAGATCAACTGAGCCGCCTTTTTTATGAAGTTTCAATTAATAATGGTTAAACTATACATGTCTATATAGTCTGGTAATCTTGCACTGAAGCACAGAATATATAGCTGAACCGCGGTTTAGCTATATATTCTTTGACTGAAGTTATGATCTGAATTGGGGCAGTGAGTGCCATAACCAGTCTTATTGTCTTTTTTTGGATCCATCGGTGTTTACAAATATGTAGTCTTTTTTGTACTTTTCCATATTAGCAGTAAATTGTTGTTTTGTTAGGTGATCATTTTTGTTTAGATTTAGGTTTATTGTTTTTATATTTTTAATTTGTATTTGATATTGGAATTCGTAGCAAGGGAGTTTGTCAATTTTTTCCATCTTTTGAATATTTGGTGCAGTATAGTTCAGCGCTTGAACTAGAATTGGAATGTCTTTTTCTCGCCAGTAATTCGCATTTACCATATAGGTAATGTAATTTGATAGCTTTCAGCAATGGAATTGTAAGGTTATTTTGAAAGTTTTGTATTTTGGCCAGGAATTTGACTCCTAGCCATTTTTGTCTATACTCTATTTGTATTTGATTTGCTTCGGCAAATAGCATGTTGGTGGGTGTAGATTTGGCGCATCCCAATACTACTCTTAGCGCTTTATGTTGTGTATTTTTCATTTTGTTGATATTTTTCTTTGATACATTCAATACAAAGGAGCCGTATCCCAAGTGCGAGTTTATTAATCATGAGTATAATAGGTTGATTAACGAAGCCGGGTCAGCCCCCCACCAGACTTTTTCGAATATATTTTTGGACATTTATTCCGTTTCTGGCTTTCGTGATATTTATGTTTAATGTGTTTATTCCAATTTAGATTGCTGTCTAATGTCATTCCTAGGTACTTGATTGTATCTGAGTATGTTATGTTAGTATTCTGTATTTTCACCGGGGGATATCGAGTTTTCCTTTTTTCCTTTAGTGAATATTATAGCTTTAGTTCTCTCGGGGGATAGAGTGAATTCAATTCATGTTCATCCAGCCAATCAGTTGTGATCTCAAGAGCCTGGTTTATTTTATCAATGGTTGTAGGGATGTTTATTCCTTTAATGAATATGACTATGAGACTATGTCATCTGCATATGTTATTATTGATGTTTCCTTATTGTGTATATTCATCAAGTCGTTGGTAATAATAATAATAATAATATTAATAATAATATAATAATAATAATAATAATAAATCATCGGAGATCCTTGTGGGAGGCCCTTTGTGGCAATTTCTGGACCTACTAACCTTCAGAGTCTCTTATGAAGAGTTTTCTATTAGATAATATCTCTAATATAGCATTGCAGAGTTCAATTGAGATTCTTTGATTATTCAGTTTTCCGTATAATTTATATATGTTTACTGCATCAAATGCCGCCTTGATGTCAATAAATACTGCAACTACTGATTCTCTTTGTGCAAATGCTAGGTTAATGAAGTTTACTAAGTGTGCGAGGTTGTTGTGAACTCTGAATTTCTTCCTGAATTAAGTTTGCAGTTGAGAGATTACTTTTTGATTTTCTATGATCCAGCCAATTCGGTTTTTATCATTATTTTTTCTAAAAAGGAAATTAATAGTATAATATATACCTAGGGACTAAAGTGATTTTTATCCTGAGGCAATTCGTCGAGGGATAAAAAGACACTCTAGGAGAATACTATGCAGACTCTCTTTAGTTTGAAGATTATTTTGTTTGTTCAATAACTGTTTACGTTTGTTGTTTTTTTATTTTTTGAATTTTTGTTAGTTTTACCTTCCATTTTATCGTACCTATATAACAGTGTTGTGCCTTGTCTTGTTGAGCGAATGGATCATTTTGTAGATTGAAGATTGATTAATCATAATTGTACCATTTGTGTTAGTTTTAATATTACCTCTGAATTCTTATTACCTATTTTCAAGCTTTGTTCACAAGAAAATGTTCTTACATAACAATAAAGCATATTTTGATTTGATTTTTTTTTGTATGGCTATTGTATGTTTTATTTTATGTAATTTTCCATTGTTGGACTCTTATTGTATTTTTGTATTGCTTATGCTTTCCTTTCTCCTAATTTTGCGGAACATTCGTCATCCCCACCATGGATTGCTTGTTTTATTTTTTTGATTTTCCTTGTATCTTGGTATTACTGAATTGGCTGTTTCTTGTATTATTTTATTCAGGGTGTGGTTAAGTAATCAGGTGTTATTCTGTATTTTTTCGTGATATATGTTCCAATTTGCTTTTGAAAAAATTCTTTTGGATTGATTTCGGACAATGTAGTCGGTTTTGATCATATTTCCGTTTGTGTTTATTTTGATCATTGTAGGGTAGTGGTCACTGTAACCAGGGTCCATGATTACTTTCCTGGAGCATCGTGTTGCAATTTGAGGGGTAGAAAGTGTTATATCTATAGGGTTTCGGTTTTCATGTGGTTTTGTGACTCTTGTTGTGCTCCCATTATTCAGTATACTAAAGTAGAATATTCTCGCTTAACAGCGTGTTTCCCATTGAGATTAGGGTGGGTACTGCCCTAGTCTGGGTAATGACCATTCATATCTCCCATAATTATTGTTTCCCCTGTTAATGTGTTTATGATTTTCTGTACTTCATTGTGTTTGAGTCGATTGTCTTTTTTCTTTATGAATTATCGTCTTCTTCTTCCATTTGCATGTTCCTTTCGAGTAAGATTTGGGATAGGTGTTCATATAGTGTTCTTTGAGCATGTTGGCTAAGTTTTGTAGCCAATTGCATAGATTCATTTGCATTAAGCGTTTGAATAAATTTTACAGCACTTTCAGGCTTTTTGGTTTGTTTAAATTGTTTATTATATTCATCAATGTTTTGTAGGGCGTGGGAAGACGTTGAGGATTGGTCTTTGTTCCATATTGTGCTTTCTTGTCTTTGTTGGTTTACTATGACTTTTTCTGGTCTTGTGTTTGGGAAATATAGTTGTTGATTCTTCTTGATCGTATCTTTGTTGTGTTATTCTTTTTTTGGATGGATTTTGAAGAACTTGTTGGTATGATCTCTTTTTATTTTGATTGGTGAATTTTTGTGTTGTGGCTCGCCTTTGATTAATTTGTATCATATTATCTTCAGTTGTTGGTTTTGGTTTTGGTGCTGGGAAGTCTCAGTATATATTTATTGTAGGGATTTTGATTTATATGCTAATTTGTTTTGGGGCATAGCATTGCCGCTTCATAATACGATATGTTCTCAAATATCATTGTTTTTTAAATGTTTTCTTGTCTCGCAAATTCAGGGCATTTTTTATCATTGGATTTGTGATTTTCCGACTTGCAGTGATAGCATTTGGTTATATAGTTATCATGTTTGTCTTCTTCTTCTAGGTTAATTTGCTCAGAGCACCGGAAGCATCATTGTTTTAATTTACATAGTTTCTTTGTAAGTCCATATAGGAAACAATAATTGACACATTGCGTAACTTTTGGTATATATGGGATTACTGGAAGTTCCAGGTTGCGTAGGTGTAGGCTAATATATCTAGGTAAATTGGTCCCACCAAATATGACAAGAATTGAATAAGTAGGTATTCATGGTCAATGACTTTTTCTTGTGTAAGGTTTTTATTATTGAGATTTCTCTTTTGCACACGTCTATTCAATCTGATAACATTATTAATTTTTTGATTCTCAAATAAATTTATTGTTATGTGTTTTTAAGGTTTCAGAGTCTAAGTCTCTATCAATAGCTTTTACGACGCCGTTGCTAGACGTGGGATTGTTACTTTTAGTCCTTATTTGTTTTTCAATACTTTATTTTCAAGAAAGGCATAATTCAAAAATTCTACACCTATTTTACTCTTCCCTAATACTCTCATTTTTTTAATATCTTTAAATTTCAGATCGAAGATTTCTTTGGCTATTTTAATTTGCGAAAATTTGCTAATATTTTTGTTATCTGCTTCAACTGTAAGCAAATAAATTGAATCTTTTTTATTGTACATACATTCTTTTTTATCTCGGCCTATTTATTTGACTATCTATAAATCTATAGGATTTACATTTATATTTGTATCCGACCCTTAGACTTGCTCGTTTATATTTGGGTTATAATTTAAATCAGGGGGTTCAGGGGGCACCCCCAATGACAATGATGTTATTGGTCATCCCCCTTTCTTTTGAATTTTAAATATTTCAAATTATATGCTTTTTGTTTTGCTACTTTTAATCAAAAATTGGGTGAAAGGAATAGGTAACACAGTATGTTAGTAGTCGAAGTTTAAAAAACTATCTTTAACAAATAAAAATGCCTAAATATTGAGATTTTAGTATTTTTTTCCGATTCGGACTTCGAGTCTTGTCATGAAATTAATAGGGTACTATTCTAACACCATTTCCAACCACCATGCAAAATCCCATTAACTCAAACCGTGTCGAAGTACGAAAAACTACCTAACTTAACAAATAAAAATACCCAAATATTGAGATTCTCGTATTTTTTTTTCCAACTCCGACTTCGAGTCTTGCCATGAAATTAATTGTCTCTGAACTGGAGACTCTTGAATTGGTGCGCCAAAAAATAAGCGACCATGGACTTTTGTTTAACCAAACTCTCTAATTTAACCTGATTTTTGCTACGAGCTTAGGGCTTTCAATCCTATTTTTCTGGTCTAATAATTACACACAAAAAATCATTACCTTGGCATTTCATATTCAACTCCACAAATGTGCGACTGTCCAAGCTTCTCAATGCAATTCACAAAAAGGCTTTTAGCAGGTAAATACAAAGCTATATCTTCTTGAAGCAATGGCAGAACGTAATAAAACAATTCCACTCCTAATTCTGCAGTTCCAGGATTTGTCTTGATTTCATGCTGAAGGGTTCTGGAAATATCACAGTTTGAAAAATAGTCTAATTTTTTTAAAATTTGTAACAACTTACTGAACACATTGTTGAATTGATACTGAAGCAGTACACAAAGACGCATGAGGAAACTTAAGGCATTTATCTAGTAGAGACTCATAGGATTGTCGGTTGATTTGCATTTCATGTTCAATTCTGTCATTTCGTTTCGCTTCCTATAATAAAATTTCATATTATAGGTACCTAATTCCTAAAATTACACCCAATCAATTTTTACTTGGATCTCCAAAGTTATTGTAGCTGGACCTGAACAATGCACCGTTTGATTTTTCCCCTTGCAGGGTACTTGTTTTTTAATTCTTTTCAACACAGAACTAAATAATTGCGGCACCAGTTCTTGATAGCCGGAATTCAAAGCTTTTTGCTCCGACAAACTTAGACTGTGATCACTGAAATACAAACATTTTTATTTGAGTTCATATAATATGAAGTAACCTTACTGTGCGAATCGATTTATGGTATCAAAACATTCTTTCAGAGTTCTAAACATATTTTCTTTACTACTAAAGTCTATTTGTATCAAGTTAATAGGTTTACGTTGGATTTCAGGTGGTAGTTTTATAGCGTCATAAGAATTCAATCTTCTCAAAATTCTCTCCACTGGATCTGAACTCTCTACACTGTGACCCGGATTCGAAAGTGGTTGATTAACGTGAGATTTTTCGCGGAAATTTGCAACTTTCCATAGTTTTATTGCTTTTGTTTGCTCGTCAATGATCTGATTATGATCCAGATATTCATACCATGGCACCTACAATACACAATATTGTAAAAATTGAAACACAAAACAAGTTCTTACTTGGCTTTCTTCCTTGATTATTACTGACAAAAGTCTAGGGTGATATTGAACTGGTAAACTTTCAAGTAATAAATTTCCACTTTGTAATCTTGGCTCCTCTAGCCACAATAAGAAAGCTTGGAAAATGCTAGATGAATAGTTTATTGAATAGTCTATTGAAAAATTGGATCGTAGTACTTACTTGTAACGTAATTTTAAATGTTCGGCTTTATCAGAATTTTCCTTTGACACCATTTGAACACCATAAAACTCTAAAGTTTCTTGCAGGCGTCTTTTGATACGTTTCAGGAAAGCAAAATTGACTATCCCTTCAAAAAACTTGTCTCCCACACAAACTTTGTCTGTGTAACTTGAAAAAAGTCACAAACAGTTTATTAGATGATAATAAGTTTTTTTTTTTACTCCTTACCTAATATTTGGCAACCTTGTCAAATATAAAATGAAGAATTTTTGCCAAAATAATGGTAACAAAGGATGGTTCATATCAGTATCCATTGCTTGTTGCGCCCATCTGTAGATACAAAGAAAAGTCGAACTAAAGGCAGACATTTTCAAACTTGTAGCAGCATTCTAAGATAATTGAAAATAATTACACTTTAAAATAAAGAATCACATAAACACTACCTTTATGGCATTATCGACGTTTATTTTTCCTTTTTGTTTGGCCAACTCCTTGAGAATTTCAATCCAAAGACCAGTCTTAGCTTCTTTTTCTTGACGTTCTATTTCCAAAAATATATAAGCCAACCATGGATATGAGCCTAAAGAGCTGGATAAAAGAGAGGTTGAACTATTACTGGTGCCAGAAGCCCATTTGAAAATCCCTATAATCGATGATGAGGATTCTTGTGGGGTACTGGCCTAAATAAAAATAATATATTTTTACAAATCATCATGATTTCAAGTTTAACTTGGACTTGCCTGATACAAATCTCTGAAATTATCGTAGATAATTTGTAACGAGTCTTGATGGAAGAAAGATGCCCTAATTAAAACGTCAAGAAGATAAAAAATGGCATTATCTTTGTTCCAATTTGGAATTGAGACAAGGGAATTCATCCACAGTCTCACCTAAAAGCTCACAAACCATCAAGAAAAAATTTAAAACAAAAATAAAATTATTACCAACAGTCTTGGACTATTCAAATTATAAAATGCATAATTAACAATCTGAGTTTCAACCATATTTCCAAACTGCTGCAAAACAGTATTCTGTGTAATAATAAAACTCTTGGCATAAGAAATATATCCTCTATCGGCATTCAATAGATTACTTAAAATCTCTTGAAATTTATTACAATTTATAATGCATTCTTGGCAAGTGATGAAAATTGGTATTATTTGGTACAAAGCAAACAAGACCGCCTCGTGTTTTTGGTGCAGTTGTAAAGTTAGTAGTTGGCTGAGGCCGTTGCTGCATATTAGAGGCACTAAATGGCCCCAGGTTGTCATTAGTATTGCGACAAAGCAGGGGAGCGGTTGATTTTCACGAACTCCTACAAGATTTTATCACATATTCAATTAAAAATTTAATATGAATGGAGTTTTTACCTTTTAACAATACTTCAGATCGTTCCACTTCATAAACTCGTCCTAATTCTTGAAAATGACGATCGCTGATATGTAATCTCAAACGTAGAATTGTTTGCCATCCCCACTGGAAATATACAATAGAATTTGATTTAAGTGAATTAATAGTACATTAACCAGCAAAAAAAAGTGGGGAAATTACAAATTTTCAGTTTTTTTTTTGCAGCTCAGCATACTTATTACAGATATGTAGGTGTCGAGTCTCCATGTGCCCAAAATCAATTTTGATGATTTTGGCAATTTGAGTCACAAAAAAAAAAAATTAGGTAATTAACTGCATGTAATTTCCTTATTCAAAAACAATTGTTCAATAAAAATAATAACTTTGTTTCAACCCAGCAGGAAACCGTAATATTATTGTCAGGATTCTGCACAAAACCAAAATTCGTATACAGAGTGGTTCCGAAACCGTTTTGGAACGGTTTTTTGACGGGTCAGGACGTCATGTCAGGACACGAAAAGTGCCGACCTCGTTAATATTCCGGAACATCATAGGTTTATGCAGTGTTGCCAACTGCTCTTTGCAAAATTACTGGCAAGGAATTCCACCTTTACTGGCAATTACTGGCAAATACAAAAAGTCGAATTGAGACCCTAGTTGTAGGCGATTTCAAGTCAGACACAAGTCTCGACTCTTTTTGTATTCACATTTTCAAATCAGAAATCATGACGTCAAGTTTCAAGACCTTGACTGGGGGTCACTCTAGCTACTTACCAGAATATAATTTGAATTTGTGTTCATCCATCATATCCTCATGATATGAGTAAGTTATTTCAAATTCCTACATACTAGACAAAGATAGACTGCTCATCGTCTCATCAGAAAAAAAGAATAGCAGGAGGAAGAGAAATATTTTCCTTTCTTGTTTATGGGTCGAAAATGAAAAATTATGACAATCATGACATGGTCATGACGTAATTTTAGATTTTGATCTTGGATTTCACTTAATGCATTAGAAAAGTAGTAAAATTTAATGAAATATTTTAATTACTGGCACCAAGACTTTACTGGCAAGGTTACTGGCAATGAGTTTTTTTTACTGGCACTTTGGCAACCCTGAGTTATGTAATCAGCCCAAACTCGATTTACCCGACGTACGGTTCCAACCGTTAGCCACCAATCCACCCACCGTGGACCCTCAATCCGACGTTAGCCGAAAACAGTCGGCGTGAATTGATTAATCAATAAATAGTGAGAGGATGTAACTAAAAATCAATTCTATTTCTACCGCTCATTGTAATAAGTGCATTTGTAATAAAAGTTTGAAAATTCCTTTCTTCGAGTAAATTATTTAATTCCTGGGTTCATGTCGAAACAAGGTTAGTTAGTAATTATACAGGCTGTCCCAGAATATGTGGGCAATCTCTCGAATTCAGATAGAACACAAAAAAATAACATGACAACTTCTTGTAAAAAAAAAAATTCCTACGGCCTCCCCTACGAAGTTACGTGCCCCTAAAGGACGCCTCTGAAAATAGGTTTTTTGTTGATAACTTTCAAAATACTTCATGTAATTTTTTTTCCTCTAATATGATGAATACTAGATAAGACCCCTTAAAATAGACCCTCTCAAACACACTTGACTAATCTAGTTTGCCAGGGACGGACTAGCTTTAACGCAATAATGACACTGAGGAAATATTAGTAGAAAGGATTAATTTTCACTGTCGCAAAATAAGGGAATGGGAAGTTGTCATGTTATTTTTTTGTATTCTATCTAAAACCGAGAGATTGCCCACATATTCTGGGACACCCTGTATTGAAAGTTAGGAAAAAAAATTATTTAAATTATTTTGATTAATATAAATTGTGATATTTTTTAATTGATAAATCAGTTTTCAACTGTAATTGTTGTCTTACTCAACCTACTACGGTCGAGCCTTTTTCACCCTAAATCTATAGCGAGGCCAAAGACAATACTACTACGATATCATACGATTCGTAGTTTATTGTCTTTGGCGAGGCTGCCATAGAGTAGTAGCGAACAGACAAAGATTTATATAGGGTATTCCCGAAGTCTTTTCAAACAAGTTTTCAGGTTTCAGTTTTTTTTGCAGCTCAACATACTTATTACAGATATGTAGGTCTCAACTTACTTGTGAATAAGTGGGTTCTTGATCAGCAGCCTTTAAAACTAGCAAGGCAGTTTCACAATGTTTTTCATATGGCAAAATGTCCCAGTTGAGCCGAGACAAAATCATTCTTGCTAATTTTGTTTGATCGGAATTGACAGGATATCGCAACAATAATCTAATAAGAAATACAATTTCAATCGATTTATTATAAAAATAGCTAAACTGATTTACCTTTCAATAATTTCCATATCGTTATCGGATAAAACCCAAATTGACAAGGGTATATCTTCATAAAGATACAAAGCAAATCCACCAATTTTATCCAAATTCTCCTGGACTGTTTTTAGAATGCTCGATAATAAGCAGGGATGTTTGGATGTAAGGTGTGTCAATAAGATTCTAGCTGATTTTGAGCACGTATCTTGAGTTATCTCAGATACGAATCCCACCTAGATAATATTTAGTTTATCTAGCAACATATTTCTAGTGTAAATAATTAAACATTACCTGCAAAATATCCATAGTAGACGAATAAATAAAATCAATATCCGCCTCACTTCTGGCCAAAGACATATTAGCAAAAGTATTTAGCAAATAATACACTTCGGCATCTCCTAAATTATTCAATTTCTCTTCAAACTGATTCCTCAAACCACTTTCCCAAATCTTTTTTCTAAAATCAGCGTTTAACGAAAAATCAATTATGTCTTCAGCTTTATCATCAGGCATGTGTAAAAAGTAATAAATTTTCCATAGAGTTTTAATGGTTACCATGTTGTAAGGAACTACTGCTAGAAATTGCCAGGCTCTAAGTTTCTGGGAAGAGTACAAATAGTAAATTGCCCGCAAAAAGAAGGCATCATACTCGGTTTGTAGTCTTTGGATCATGGCTTTATCTGTAAAATTGCCCCTCTGAAAAATATACTCCTAGTTTATATCAAAATATTGCTAAATTGTAGTTTACCTTCAAAAATAATTCCCATTGGTCAGTGGTATACTGTACAATATGCCGTATAAAGCGACTGAGCCTCTTAGAAAACTGATTATATTTTGGTTGAGAATACGTCTCTAAGCCACAATGTATCAGCCTTAATATCACAGAAGAAAAGGCAAAACATCTTAATATATGCTGCTGCGTAACTGTATCACTATCGTACTGATCCTATATTATAATTACATAATGTTTAGGATTCTTTCAAGTTTCAAACTATGTAATAATTTTACCTTGCCATCTATTGTATTTATTAGTAAAACGCTTTTAAACATGCCTCCTAAAGGTAATTGATTAAATATGGCCACTAAATCGTTTTCACGAAGTGAAATACCAGTTTCATCATCCTCTTCACCATCGGAATCTACTAAGACCCAGTTAGTTTCTGATGGGACATTGTTGCAATGAACAATCTAACGAAAATATTTATTTGTAAGAAAATATCATAATTTATAAGATAAAACCTTACATCTTTTAGAAACTCCTTTCTTTCCCTTACAGGGCTTAAAATTACAGACAATAAGCTTAAAATATGATTTATTTGGTAATTTGCGAATGGCTCTTCTACAGGTAAATCCAATGGCACTTGAATAAATGATGCAGCCCATATTCCTACACCCGCAGGACACCTTGAAACGAATACATTAAGATCATCAGTTAAAAAATTCACAAATCAAATTGGCAAAATTGGATGCTTCTTACCTTAAAATATGATGTATCAAAAACAAATGATCCTGATAATTAGCCACCCTAATTAAAACGGCGACTAATTTAGTCAACCACTTCCGGCTATCCTTCAAAAACGTCGTATCTGTTATAAGTTTTCGTTGAAAAGCAAATAACACCGATATGGACTGCCTTATTTCGTTTATATTGGTTTTAAAATAAGGCGATTCGTCTTGCATTGTCAAAGAAACTGGGGATTTGGAACTTAGTTGCTTTAAGGCCGAAATGTTTCCTATAATCTGTTCTATATACAGGTCGATTTGTAGTCGCAATTCTTCCGAGGAATAAGAAAATAAGACGTGGTTATCGAAGACTAATTTTTGCACTTTTCCTAAAATTCTGGTGGCATTTTGAAAAGCGGATCGATGAAATATGCTTCTGTTAAACTCATGAGAGGTATAAACGAGGCGACCGTCTTGGCATTGGGCGCTGCCTTGTATTGTTGTTGTATCACTAGTCCAGATTTCAAGTTGCAAGTTGCGGTATTCCTTTCTGAGCTGTTCGATTTCAATGTTGTTACCTTAAAATAGAAATTGTGTATTCAATTTGATAAAATAATATTGTAGATTTACCTGTAATTTTTTCCCTGATTTTCAAATAATTTGACAATAATTCATACAAATAATGTTTTTTCAAATGTAAACCCTTAAGTTCGGCATCTATATAAGTTTTGGTAAAATCTTCCAAAACATCTAGTTCACTGTTGTAATAAAGCGCATTAAGTTGTTCCACTGTGTAAGGTTTTATATCAGAATCCTCAACTTGTAAACTTTCAAGTTTCTCTTTTTCAGCCACCGTTTTAGGTTGGGCAGTTATAGATTCAATGTTATCCAAAGTATAAAGTATTTGTTTATTCATTTCTAAAAACCTTTCGAAATTCCATTGGTCCTCTTTGGCTGCTTTGTCCTGTTGTATTTGTGAATCTTCGTCATTAATGATTGATGAACCTGCCTTCTGAGCACTTTGGTTGGATGGAATAGCTTCACACGCCACATCTATGTCATCTTGTATCACTAAATTATTGATTGCAACTATGTCATGGGCTTGCTGAATGCTTGTGTTTTCAAACGCGGCTGCGGATATAACATCATGAGCTTCCTGAGCAGTCTCAGCGATATCAACCTCTACCGTCTCGTCATTTTTTTCCAAGTTATCTTGGGTGTTTTCGACAGATTTAGCGTTGCTTGCAATATTAGATTGCTGGGATGCCTCGACGATTACTGGAGCGTTTTCAGATTCTGAAGAAGTCACACCCAAATTTTCCGATTTCGTTTTGGATTTAGATTTTTTCTTAGGGTTCTGAAACAGAAAATAAGCCAATGCATTATCTAATTTGACTGATGAGGATGGAATAATAATAGTAATAATATGTCTGTTGAAAGTCTGTGCAAGTTTTTGTGGTTTCGATTTTTTTTCGGAAATTTTTTCTCAATAATCAAATTCACATCAGTGCATTGCACGTACTGATGTAGTTCAAAAAGAGGGTGAATTAGAATCAATAAATATGGGAAAGATTCTAGAGAGGGTGGAATGGAACCAATTATTAGAGTACGTACTTTACTTTGAATAATATTTGGGTGTACGTCAGTGAGGATTTAGGAAAGGGCTGAGCTGCGAAATGGAAGTACAGAACACTACTCACTAGTGGAAGGATCTTCCAGATTTTTTTTTTTATTGGCTCGCTCACAAAAGACAAAGTATATTCTACCTAAGCAGTACCATGAGCGGAAGAAATTGAGTAACGATTAACCCTCTGTTTGAACACGTTAAGGAAATGAAGTAGGAGGCAGAAAGAAGCCCTATATTTAGAGGTCCTCGGGGTTATAGGCTCCCCAGTCAATGGCAAAATTCGTTCGAAAGACCATACAATGGAAGTTTGCTGAGGAGTTTGAGCCACACCTGATCAAAAGCCTTGGAGATGTCCAATGCTACAATTCTAGATTCGCCATGTTTTTCGAGTCGAGTTCGCTTTGATTATCGCTCAAAAAGCCGCAGAATATAGAATTTTAAATGATTGGTTGGTAGAATATTTGACTAATAGAAAAGAGATAACTTAAATAGAGAGTAATATTATATCAACACCAAAAACAAATAGTACTCTGGTTCTATTGCTTCATATTGTTATAAATCTCTCAAGCTAGGGAAAGTGTACATAATCTAACAACATTGCCTGATGACTATTAACTCGCCCGATATTCCAGTAAATTGGAAACAAACAGAAACAAATTATGTATCTAGAAAATTCTAGAAGCATCAAAGACGCGCTATAAGACGGAGTAGGCCACCAAGGAAGAAGACTTTGACAAATTAGACTTTAGTGGTATGTGATTAATGTGAATCGATAGTATAAGACAGTAGTGAGCGGTGATTTAGTTTTGTGACTAGTCAAGCGATAACCTCGATTGTGATTAAAATCGTGCTAGTTTCGTATTGATTTATGTGTTTATGTCTTGGATAAAGGTAAATTGATTTCAGAAAAGTAGTCCCATTTATCAATAACTATAATTATTTACATTAATTGCGCATAGATTCTTAACTGAAATTAGACGAATAGGTACATTGATATTTTAGCAGAGGTACTTGTCAATAGCTGTTTTATTATTAGATCAATCATGCTTGAAAAGGAAGCGCAACAGAGATGGTCTATTTATTCCTGATTCGCTACTTGTGTGAAAGAGGAAATTCGAACATATCAACCTTGTTCTGACTGTACCATGGGAGTCAGTAGTGAGTTTACTTACCACCGCCTACAATAAAAAAAAAACACTTGTGATCAAAATTTTATTACCCTTGCTAATAAACTCGAAACTCGTAGGTGCCAAAGCATAATTAGTGTTGACAAATTTTGGATAACTAATACTTATATAGATACCTATTCGTTTATTCTCCGACCATTCTCATTAAATCCTTTTAATATTTCATACAATACAGGGTGTCCTTAGAGAAACTGACACATTTTGCAGGTAAATATCTCTAACACACGAAAGGAATAAGGCCGTGTTTATGTTGGAGCTGTGATAAACGATAAAAGCAACGATACTAATAATGATACTTTACATTAGTATCGTTGCTTTTATCGTGTATCTCAGCTCCAACATAAACACGACCTAAGACGAGATACGGTTTGTTCTGGGAGAATAAGGATTTAAAAAAAAAAAAAATCCACAGTATTACCAAATCCTAAAATTTGATGAAAGCCTGATTTTTTACTTTACAAAAATTTATATATTTTTTCTAATTATCTTGAAATTGTATCGCATAAATTGCACTTTCTTGTCAAGGTTTTAATTAGTTAATAAACGTATTAAAGACAAATTTATTGTCGATTTATTTTGCATCTAAATGAGAAAAAATCAGATTCCAGTTCTGAGCTTGAGATCCATTCGCAGTTTGTTTCGTTTGATGAAAAGACTCTACTCAATAAATCCTGAAAGTTTGGAGTCTCTCTGATTGCTTGAAGTATTTTCCATAAAGTTCCAAAGGTTATAAGGAATTTTACAAGAGTTTTTGCATCTAAGTGAGAAGAAATTCATAATTCCAGTTCTGAGCATGAAATCCATTCGTGGTTTGTTTTTGTTTGATGAAAAGACCCTACTCCATAAATCCTGGAAGTTTAGAGTCCCTCTGATTGCTTGAAATATTTTTAAGAAGCTTCCAGTGATTTAATAGAAGTTTTACAAGAATTTTTTGTATCTAAGTGAGAAAAAATTCATAATTCCAGTTCTGAGCCTAAGATCCATTAAAGGTTTGTCTTGCCTAATAATAAGACCCTACTCAATAAATCCTGAAAGTTTGAAGTCCCTCTGATTGCTTGAAGTATTTTTCTTTTGGCCAGCTGATAACTATATCTTGACATTAAATGTACGTCTAACGTCAGTACTGGTATTTTAAATATGTTTCAACAACCCCTCTATTTAAAATAACCTAAACCTTGATTTTTCGCACACAAAACAGTTTTTTTTTATCAACAGCTGTCAGAGAATCTGCTATTTGCTTTTGTGTAGAGACATATCTCATTTGTAATAATTTTTCATCTATCTTCTGTTTGAGAAAATGATGTCTTACATCTATGTCTTTGGTTCTCGCATGGTAGGCCCCATTTTTTGCTAAATTTATGGCTCCTTGATTGTCAATATTCAAAACTGTTGCAGTTGTACATTGCCCAAATTCTTCACCTAATCTTCTAAGCCATAAAGCCATGCTCATGCCATATACTCCCTTTCTGATGTTGTCGAAAGAGCAACTGTGACCTATATCTTAGCTGCACCATTTTCAAGGAAAACATATCCAGTCATTGATCTACGATCGTCCATGTTGCTGGCCCAATCAGCATCTGCATAGCCAACAATTTAACTTTTCTTCTTGTCAGTACCATCAAATTCTATTCTGTAATTCATGGCACCGGCGTATACAAGGGGGGGGGTGGTAATGGGGGTAATTACCCCCCCCCCCCCAAGATCGTTGCGATGGACGAAAAATATGTACCCTACATTTTACAAATAAATCTATTTTTATATTTTTATTTTTCAGCAACTGGCCCTAACTTGTTTTCTAGTTTGCACTGTGTCCGCACTGCCCGCTTGCCATTTAGAGTGAATTCTATCCAAAGGTATAGTGCACACTGAGTGTATTTGTGTCTTTCTCTACTAGCTTGCATAAGAAAGAGATAAAAATAAATTTTTTGTATTAATTCTACCAATAGAATTCGCTATAATTACAAAGTTTTAGGTGAATCTCATGGTGAATTCCATTGTTAAAATCACTGCAAAAAAATGTGTTTTTATCTCTTTCTTATACAAGCTGGTAGAAAAAGACACGAATACACCCAGTGCGCACTAACCCTTCCTCGGTAGTATAGAATTATATTTACCTAACAAGTGCGGAAAATATATTTTTTTTCCGCATGAGTCTGTCGTTCGCCGAAAGACGCGTAGCGGAATTTGGTGAAGCAGTCGAGTGCGGAAAACAAATTTTCCTCATGTGTTGGTATACAATAGTTTTTCTACAGACGTGCGGAAATAAGTACATATACCTACATATAATTTGTAGTAATTTATTGATTTTTTTTTTTGACAGCCCTGCGGAAAAGGTTTTTCCGCATCTATATCCGTGCGAAAAAAATTTCACCCCACCGTGCGAGAAAATCGATTTTCCGCACTGTTTAACAGATACCCCCCCCCCCCCCCCCAGACGCATGGGCTGGATACGCCGGTGATTCATGGTACCCTTCAAATATCTAAGGATACGTTCTGTTGCAGTTCAGTGAATATGTCGTGTATTTTCTGTAAATCGACTGACATTATTTACAGCGTAGGGCGTAGGATATATCAGGCATTGATACTTGTGCTGCAAATAGTAGACTTCCTATGAGTGCACATTTTCTCACCAAGCAAAACTAGAGTATCTACTGGATTATACTCAAACATGTTGTATTTCTTCAGCATATTTTCTATGTATAACTTTTGATCTAACCAGATATTTTTATTCTTTCTATCCCGTCGTGTAATCTGCATGCCTAGGTGCAAATCTGGCTTCTCCAATATCCTTCATTTCAAACTGTGACATTTAATGTATTCCTTTTATCCGTTGAGTGACTCTGAGCTGCTCAATGTTAACACTTGAACGTTCCTTTTAAAAGAGCGTTAAGCACTCGAGTTGCTCATAGTGCATCCCCCTTTCCACTGATGCACCAAATTTGCGGGGGGTGCAAGAAGGTAATGACGGTAATGTTAATATTAAAAAATAATGATAAAATCTGAATTGTGTGTTTTGGAGTGACTCCGAGGAGCTCGTTAGGTGTAACTCAATTTATAAAAGGAATACAGTAATTAACTGATGTTTCAGACTGTTCTTAACAGTTAAGTCATTGGACAGTAAAATCATATCATCTCTACATAGATCATAGATAGCTACAATTAGTATCAATGACTCAGTAGACTTAAAATAAATACATGAATGAGTTTTGGACTGAGTCAAATCACATTTCTTAAGACATCCATTGTATCTATCAGCTGTATCTATCATATAAATCTCTTCGGTAAGATTACCCTGCAAAAAAGCTGTTACAGCATCTAATCGATTAACTTCTAAATCAAATTCTGCGGCTATAGGAAGTAAATATCTTATAGATGTATAGCTCACAACTGGGGAATCGGTTTCTCCATAATCAATGCCTTTTTTTGATTACAACCTTTAATTACCTACTAGTCTTGCCTTATATCTTACAACTGCACCATCTGAATACTTTTTCGCTTTAAATACCCATTTGCATTTTAAAGGTATTTCGTCATCTGTGTAGTCTACTAGTTCCCGTGTTTTGTTTTCCATGAGCGCTGAATATTCTTCATTAATATCGGGTCTTCAAAAAAAATGCCAATCAAAGATTGCTATGGTTTTTTAAACGTATGTCTTAGCAATAAGAGAAACAATAATGCGACATATACGTTTAAAAACCCATAGCAATCTTTGATTGTTTTTTTTTTGAAGACCCGTTAGCTTCACGTCATTTGTCACAATCAGCTTCTTCAACGGTCTCAGGATCAGAAAAATCAATCATAGTAGCAAAACTAACTTCATAACTGTGGAAAGGTTTAGATAATTTTCTGACTCTTTCAGATCTTTTTAATCCTTGAACTGGAACCTCTTCACTCTGATGCGGTCCAAAATCTGATAAATAAATCTACATCTGGATAACTTTCTTCATAGTTTTCTGGCTCACTTTTATGCTGTTCTTCGACATCAGACTGTGATGTAGAAGACGACTCGTGCTCAAAAGATAGGTCACCATCATCAACGTCGATGACCTCTTGAGCTTCGGGAAAAATAAAAAAATGTTTTTCTTGTTTATTTCTAGTCTTATCAAGCAATAATGCACCCTTTTCTTTCTCAAAAAATATAACATCTCTAGCTACAAAAACCTTATTACTGGAAGGGTTGTACAATCTGTACGCCTTACTTTCTGTACTGTATCCTATCAATATACTGACTATTGTTTTGCTGTCAAGTTTTTTTACGGCTTTCTTTAGGAATATGTGCATGAACTTTGCACCCAAAAATGCGTAGTCCCTCCAACTTTGGTTTTATGCCAATCCCGGCTTCTTCTGGCGTTTTTCCTTTGAAGGTGACCGATATATTAAATAAACCGCTGTAGAAGCAGCTTCTGCCCAAAACATATTAGGTAACTCAGAATCATTCAGCATACACCTCGTTTTTTCAAAAATTATTCGATTCAAACGTTCTGCCTTGCCGTTCTGCTCAGCTATTCTTGGCACAGTTAGCTGATGTACCATAGCAGTCTTTCAAAAAATTTTGTAGCGTAGCACTGACATATTTATCCCAATAATTGTCTCTACGGATAGTCTTAATTGTTTTACCGGTCTGATTTTCCACTAATTTTCTAAAAGACTCGAAGTAATCGAAAGCTTCGTCTTTCGTTTTAATAAAATATACAAACCATTTTTTAGTTGATTTAAACTATTGAAATTTATGTGCCCTAGCCAACTAGTGGCTCCAAAAACCACAGAATCATCTTTCTTGACCATCTGACTTACTGACAAGTTGACTTTAAAATCTGACACATATTCAGTATTCATATTATTTCTGCATTATGAGAATCTAACACAGAAGATGACACTGCCTACCTTGGTTGCACAAATTTTTTGATCATTCGCAGTAGTAGGTAATAGAACAGTGAACAGTCCGTGGTATTCCAGGTGGCAGCTATATCCAAATACCAACTATTTTTACTTAGATCACAACTGGGTGCTGCTGATAATGCTGAATATAATGCGACCTGATTTTCGTCATGGTTTTTATCGTTGTCTTTCTTTGGGTTGTTACAATCTTTGGCAAAATGTCTATATTTATTGCACTGGAAACAACGAACTGTTTTTTTTTCTAGTGCTTCTAAAAGCATTGAACATAGTTAATCGCTTCTATTAACAGAATAATCTTACTTTTAGCTTTGGTAATTTTTTTCAAGTCTCTCTCAGTTCCTGTAATAAGTCCCACAACACTTCATGCTCCAGATAAGTTTTCACAGCGAATTACCAACTGTCGAAATTTTCACGTCCTAGCGACTTTTCAATGAGCGGTAAAGCGGTTGACATTATGGCTGCTTGAAAATCCAATGAAGGCAACAACTTCGAAAAAACTTATTATATACTTAACTAGTTCCTGGGCCCATAACCTGTCGGCAGGGAATCTTCGTGGAGTCAAGTGAAAGTTTAATAAACGCAAAGAGTTTTAATAAAATATAACGTGTTGACTAAAAATATGAAAGCTGAAAACTATATCTTGACATTACATGTACGTCTAAAGTCATTACTGGTATTTTAAATATAGGTATTTCAACAATTTCGAGATAATTAAAAAATATTATAAATTTTTGTAAAGTAGAAAAATTAGGCTCTCCGACGATGACAAAATCTACAAGTTGTTTCAATGAAAATAAGGCAGTAATTTTTTTCCAAAAAATTGTATTTCTGTTTTCAGCAAATTTTAGGATTTGGCAATAGGTAGCTACTGCGTGAAAAACTTTAATTTTTTTAAATTCATTCTCCCAGAACAAACCGCAACTTATCTTTTTGCGTTTTCAAGGTATTTATCTGCAAAATGTGTCAGTTTATCTAAGGACACCCTGTATTACAATAATTGTGTATTCTCAGTTGATTAGACATTAGATTAAGTTAATCTTAATTGTTAATCTGATTAACAAATATTCCTTTGTCAATTACATTGTAAAATTTCGGACAATAAGGCCTATTTGGATTGTTTGGTTGATATCTATGTTCTGGAATCCAATGGGTTGAAGATGTAGGGGAAGACCATGTCTGTAACATAATAGGTTTGAGAGTGATGGGGTTAGAAGCTGAAAAATGAAATTACTAGAAGGCTCCTCAAGAGCCAAGTACAAAGGTTGTAATAACCTACAAGTCCTGCTCCGCAACAAGTATCGCATCCGACGCATCCCATGTTCAGCAGTCCAATTTGTGACCATTTAATTTTACTAGAATCATCTAGATAAAAGGAAAAAAAAAACACATTTTCAATTAAGTATGTGTTTAATTATCGAATTTGCAAATCAAAATTAAAATAAAAGTATGAAGGACAATATTGTTGAATTTAATAATAGATACAAAAACATATCCAAGTTAATAGTTCAGTTTACATAGATTTGGAAATAATAATTATAAAATTATATGAAACAAAAATGCATCTTCACTATTACCACCTAGCAGATATATTTATTTTTAATATCAACCATCAACCAAACTACTTATCTAATTGGTTAAGCAAAACTACAAAATTATGTCAAGCTTATTAGGCTCAAGAGGAAAAACTCAAAAGGCTTGAAATAATTTTGTAGCACTAAAAAAATTAATCGCCAACCAAACCTATGCAAACTTTCTATAACGAAATGTGTAAAGCTTTATTTAGATCTAACGAATTGCAATAATGCCAGATTCTAACAATTTTTGAATCTTAGCGGCTACTGCTGGATTTTTTAAATGGTCTTGAAGAGCTCTGGGATCATCAGACATTTGTTCTAAAATCATTCTCATCGCGGGATCAGAAAGGATTTGTTGCACTTCAGGATCGGCCATGGCCCTTTGTCTAATTTTTTCTGGGTCAGTCTCCTGGGTGGCTCTTTCCATAGTAATTGCTCTGTATCCTTGAAGAGCTTCCGCATTATTAGGGTCGACGTCCAGGGCTCTTTGGAAAGCTACAACAGCCTTATCAGGTTGCTTCATTGCTTGTAAAATCGTCCCTTTCCGGATCCAGCCCTTAATGAATTTGGGGTCCAATTCTACGCATTTTTCGCAATCTTTTAATCCTAAATCAAAAGCGGCCAGTTTAGTGTAGCATGCAGCACGGTTACTATAGATTTTAGCATCATCCGGGTTACGTTTAATGGCTTCAGTGTAGTGCTTGACAGCTTGAGCATAATCTCCATTTTTAAACAATTCATTGCCCTTTTCTTTTTCTTGTTCAGCTAATTCCGGATTAATGTAGGACTTCTTTTCTTCTTCTTTGATTACCTTTTCGATTTCTGATAACAAAGTTCTAATTTCTGGAGTTCTATGTTCAGACATTGATTTCTCATAATAAGTCCTGGCATTTGTATAGTCTTTTTTCTTTTTGTAGGCATTGCCTATTCTCATAAGGGATTTTGCGATCATTTTGAAATCGGCCCTGTTTTCTCTGCCAACCTCAATGCCCTTTTCACACTCTTTAATACACTGATCATATTCTTTTTGTTCAAAATATACTGCTGCAAGATTGTTATAAAAAGTTATGTCTGTGGGATCGTGTTTGATAGCTTCATTGTAATGCTGAACAGCATTTTCGAAATCTTTTTTCTTATAAGCAGCATTTCCCAATTCCTTGGCTTCTTTTGCTTTCTTTTTATTTTCAGGCAACTCTGGTTCTGGCGCTTTTTCCGGTTGGGGTTTTGGTTCCGGTCTTCTAGGAGGTGGTGTGTAGATAGGTTCTGAGTCCATCGGTTCATCTGCGCCTGAAAATCAAGAAAAAAGAATATATCAAAAGCTATTACGTTTTTGAACCTTACTTGTACAACAAGAAATATAATATTATGGTATGTATATTATGAAGTTTTTCAAAAGCAATAGCAGAAGAAGCTTCAGTTAAACACATACTAAACTCAGAACATTGTATATGGATATGCTTTATAAAAAAATCAAAATCAAAGAATTACATAACAAATCAAGGAAGAAACCAGTGATATTGGTATATAAGTGGGTTATAATTTTGTTAATGAAGAGTTAGCAAATACAACTATAAAGATAATTATTTCGATTATACAATTCACTGTACATTATTCCCATATGACACGAGAGGCTTAATAAGTGATAAGTCTTTTGGGATTATCGCGCATGGTGGCAATATACAATAATAATAAAAATTAATGAAGTATTGAAGTTTAGTTCGTTGTATAACCTTTTGAATACCACTCGATGTTTCAGGATTACCTAATACTTTTACCTGACACTCAACGCGTTACCAGCAACACCACTCCTCCTTCGGAGTCGTGGTGTTTTTGCGTAACGCGTTTCGTGACAGGTAAAAGTATTATCTGGTAATTCTGAAACCTCTTGTGGTATTACATTCGAGAATTTCATACATCTGTCAAAACTGGTATTCCAACAATAACTGACATGTTTTGATTGTTGATTTGAACCAATCAGATTCTAATTACGCGATAATTTGCACTAGTGCAAATTATCAGATAATTGCATAGTAACTGGTGCGAAAACTGGTGTTTTGACATTTTTTGACAAAAAATTCTGTACTCAAAAGTTAAAGGCTAATAATCAGAAACTAAATGCAGTTCATTTTTTCTGGAATAATGCTCTTAAAACTTATTTATTTATAGTTTTTAAACATTTTGTGAATAGATACATGGATAAACTTTTTATTAGACCAGTTAACAACGTTAATATACATAATCTAAAATCTAAAATATTATTTTTGAGAATTCTTCCAGTGTATAAAAACCCCTTGAAAACCCTTACAGAAAAAAATTCCCTAAAACTAATTATATTTTATTTATGGGTAAATCCTTTCATAATGGTGATTAAATGTTCATGGTTGTATTTTTTTTTATATTTACATTCCCTGAATAAAACTTTTCTAAAACACCCTGGACAGTCCCTGTTATAAAATAGTGGTGGTACCCTATCCAAAATCTAGGAAATAAATCTTATTTTTGTTGGCCTTTCTGATATTTTTACAATTCATTCTCTACTGATTGTGAAATTAATTAATTCAAGAGATTATTCTAGAAGATCCTATTGAGTCACTGCTAAAAGATGGTACTGGTACCCAATACCCCTCCAAAATCTTGAGTTTAAGGAAAAAAACCTTATTCACTTTTCTAGAGTATTTTGATATTTTCAAACATCAATAATTTTCTAGTAATTTTAAAACCAATTTAAGAGGTATTCTATTTCAAGAAAAATGATGAAAACCTTACTCTTATCAAGTCGTTTCTTTTTTTTTTGTTTACTTTTTCAACACTTCACGTAGTAGTAGTAGTAGTAGTAGTCCTACTGATTTTAAAACCATCTTGAAGAAAACGATGAAATACTTGCTTTTGTTGAGTTTTTGGATATTTTTCACCCCTATCTTCCCCACCAACTTTAGAAACAATTTAAAGGAATAGTCTAGACCAATTTGTTAAGTCTCTGCTACAATATGATAGTGGTACCCTTATCTAAGTATCTTGAAGAAAAAGGATAAAAATCTTACTTTGTTTGAGTTTTTTCTTTCCCATTCCAATTAAATCCCTTACAGTATTCTAAAAACTCCTTATGTCATTGTCTCGGGCATTGTTAAAAAATAGGAGTAGTAGCCTACCTTCTTTCTATAAAACCCATCCTTTGTGAAATTTTTGAATATTTTCAACCCTTCTTCCCCTACCAATTTGAGGCAATATTCAATGCACTATGTTAAGTCCCAGTTATAAAATAGTAGCGGTATATGGTATAATATCCAAAATCTAGGGAAAACCCCAGGGAAAAAGGATAAAAATTTCCTTAGATTATAAAATTTCACTCTTAATAATTTTTTTGATATTGTCAACCCTTCATCGCTACTAATTTGAAAACATTTAAGAAAATATTCCAAAACAACCTCATAATTAATAATAGTGTTTCAAAATCCAGGGAAAAAGGAGCAAAATCTTACATCTTGAGTTTTTATCATTGGATGGTATGAATAAAAACAAAGTATCTGCTACTACTACAAGTATTAGTAGATTCTCCGTAGTATTTACTTTAAAACGAAGTAGATACTACATTTCCGAACAAGCGAAAATAAATAAATGCTTCTTTTTGAAGTAAATACTGCGTAGAATATACTAATACTTGTAGTAGTAGCAAGTACTTCGTTTTTATTCATACCACCCATTGTCTTTTATTGAGTTTTCTGGCATTGTTGACCTTCCATCCCTTACTGACTTGAGAAAGTATTCCAAAACACTCTGTTAAGTTTCCCTGAATGAAAACTTCTCAAGATGACGTCGTTGTCAACAGATGACGAAAATTGTGGTAGTGAAGATAAAGTCACTAGGTAATTAGGTGTTGTGTAAAAAAAATGCCAATTGCAGGTCTGCATTACTTGTTTCAGACTCTGGCATATAAGTTGCAGTAAAAGATATTCAGATCACATTAATTAGCAAAACCCAAGTGGTATGTGCAGATTGTTTACCAAAATATGAGAGAGATAAGGCTACATCTCTGTAGGTATCAATCTAGGTGAGAGATGTAGAAAAAGAAAAATTATTAATGGAAATTGAGTATCTTAGAAAAATTATTGAAGAAGTAACCGATAAAAATAATATAATAATAAAGGAATAAAAGGATGAAATTTGCATTTTTATTGAGAATCGTGAACTATAGAGACCACCAGCAAAATATGAAGGTAATCATTCAAGTAAAAAATCCATATTATTTCTTCAAAATTGGATATCCAAAGGCTGGGCTATGAGGAATAAACCTAAAAAACCTAGTATATTTGAAATTAGAATTGAGAGGCTAATTGAATGGGTCAATAATATATGGGGTGATCCATTTAAAAAAGTTTAATTTTGCTTTGCCACACTTTTGTGACACACCATATATATTTGCAACTAACTTCATTGCAAAGTTTCTGATATTACCTATAGCTTTCACATTTAACATTTTTGAGTATCTCTTCAAACAGGTGAAATAGGTGTGGCTGCAAAATATACACAATCACCTGGTACATACTAACTTTTTTTGCACCATGAAATTTGTATCACCCATTTCGTCGCTGTCATTACGAAGTGGCCAATCTCTGATTTAACAACTTTTCAGGAGAGCGGTTTGAAGAAAACTCTACTCTCGACTCTACTGTTCATTTTGTCTGTAGCACTGGATATAATTTTTTTTTTATGGATAGAATAACAACAGTTGTACAATAATACATGTTAACAAAATTCAGTATCAGAACTTGTTTTTTCATATAGATATAACACAAAACTATACTTGGAACATTGAGACATCTTTTTTGAAAGAAAAGATTGGACTTTTTTTGTAAATAAATTATTAAGAAGATAGGCCCGTTCGTAATAACAAAAACAAATGTTTACCTGTTTGACAAAGCAGATATGCCGCTAAAATTGAATAATGGCCACACGGTGTATTATGGAGATATGCCAGTTCGTCATAATATAGATATGGTTCTTTCAAGTATTTTTATGGGAATAACTCATTTTCGCCAAATATTGAGATAGGCCCCTTTGTACTGACAGCGATGATTTAGTGTATAAAAACCCATATTGAAAAAAAAAAAAAAGAGTTAGGTCATAAGACCATACTAAATAATTATTTTTAAGTAGTTTGTAATTATTACTTGTGTCAGTTTATGATTCTGCTGTTTTTGGTCTGCTATGTAACTTGGCATCAGTAACAAGCAAATTAGAGAATTGAAATATCATAAGCCCATTGCTGTTTTGATACCTACTCAATTACTGATTAAAGAAAAAATATATATAGAATTTAGATGATAATTGATGACACTTACCAGGATCGAGACCCATTAAAACAGTCAAAGTGGTAAGCAGTCTTGGATCCTGCAATTTTTCTCCCAAAGTTTGCGGATTAGCCTGCAATTGGGCTAGCAAAGCTAAATAGTCAGGATCATTCAAGAATGCAGCAGTCCTAGGGTCAGACTTAAGTTTTCCAATTACCTCTGGACCAGAAAAGGGATTCGGGAATCCTCCTGCTCCCCTTTGAGATGTTTTTTGAGACCTAACTTCTGCCAAGCCATCCTTTAATTGTTGGTTAGACGGTTCTAATTCCAGCCCCTTTTCATATGTTTCGATGGCTTCATCAAGTCTGCCCAAGTAGGCCAAAGCAGCACCTTTTCTAGAATAAGCTTTGGCCCAATCTGGCTTTATCTCAATGGCCTTTTCCGCATCTTTTAGAGAAAGGTCATACTTATAGACTTTTGCATAGGCAGCAGAACGGTTTGAATAGAGTACCGCGTTATTACTATCCAAATTAATTCCTTCAGTGTAAAAGTTGATGGCCTCATCAATTTTGTTTTCCGCCAGAGCAGCGTTTCCCTTTTCTTTAAATGCAGTAGCTTGATCCATTGCGAGCTAGAACTGAAAGGAAACAAAACTATGTCATAGTGAACTTCAATCAATTTTCATTAACTTCAATGGGCTTTATACTTTAACTTTCGATAATTAATATTACAAAGAGTATTTTTACTTACCGTTACAAAGCAGACAGTCAGCTTTATTCACTCAATATTCTAGCAAATTTGGTAATAGCACGTTTCTTCTTCCAGAATTTTCCCTTGTTTGTTTGACAATGACAATGATTCAAAACTAAATCGATAAGGTGGTTGAGTTGAATATCAAATGCGATTTTGTTGTTCTTTCATCGACACACGGAAAAAACTGCACAAAATCAAATATTTCTCGGTTAAAATTTGCAGCACCGGGTAGAAATGGAAAATAATCGTGTTTTCCAGAATTTGCTGTCAAGCAAGGAAGGAACAAAAAATTGAGATGTCACCTTATTCTCATCTGTCTGTCCCCTGTCAGTGTTGCCGCTTATTCGAACTCAATGAATTTATCATAGAATTCTATTTACTTACAGTGACGTCATGTGGAAATTTGTTAGAAAAAAAAAACTACCAAACAAATAGAACGATAGCGTAGCCGTGTTGTTTTTTTATCAACGGGTATTTGGCGATTACAGAAATGATAAACCCAACCGGAGATCAGATTAATTTCGGAATTCGAAAACCGGACCATGATGAAAACGCTATTATTGAAGGGCGTGTTCCGTTTCTCATTATTTCGGTTAACCGTAAAATAATTTCGGTTGTTGAAAAAACCTGCGTTTTTATTCCCATCAAATTTTACCGATGGATCCACCATTCTATGGCCGTCATTGTCATTTTCCATTCACTAAACAAAGATAGGTTACTCACCGGTGAAGTCACCGATGAGAATAAAAACGAGGGGAAACCTGTGGCAACTCAAGGGGTGTGTTCAAGGACGGCAATGCTAATGCCAAAACCTACTTTTCCCCCTCCGCCGGTAATGCTGAACCACGTAGTTTGGAGCCGAACTCGAACGCAAAATGCCAATTTTAGCTTGGCTGTAGCCAATCCTGAACGCAGCCAAGGATAGCGGCGTTTGGTAAAGGCCGACTCCACGCAGCGGAACGGTATGAGCACAAATGAGCATGGATATCGTGACAAAATACGCGGTCATAAGCCGAATGCAAAAGAGAACACTGAGAGCTAAAACGAACAGGATCTAATCGTTTCGAGCGCGCTCGGAGTTTACCGAGTGTAAAGCAGAACTCAGCCAAAGCGATGCACTTTACTAGTGGCGGAACATACACGGTGGCCCATTCAATCTGAAGTATTCTGAAGCAGTCAATAATCAATAATTCGAAAGTAGCGCGTTTTGCAAAAAAAAAAAGTTCAAATAAAATAACTCAAAGTCATAAATCAGTGCCACCCGCACCATTTTCTTTACCCGCATTCCGCACCATAGGTATAGTCGTATTCACGAGAGAGTTTGAATTTTGACCGTTATTTTCACCAGTTGAAAATAAATTAAATCCCCAGATCTGTCCCTTTTTCTGACAACTATCAAATAATTATACATGACAATTTGATTTGACACATAAAAATAACAGATTCGGGTCTTTGAATTTTGAATTTCGAATTTTTGTGTGAAATCTTTCAGTTTTTTGCCGTTTACTGCATTATTTTTTTATTTGTCATTATCGCAATCGGTTTTTTGGTTTTTTATGTAGTGTTCTGTGCCTTTGTGTTTTGGTGTTGCGTTTCAAACCTGGTTTTAGTTTGGATTTAAGTGTTTACTCTTATTATAAGTGTTTACTTTGGACTCTAATTTTAGGATATTTGGATTTTAATAACTTAACTTCCTTTAAAGACATTGAAAATAAATTTTTATTCGTAAATGTTTATCACTTTTCTAAATACGACCCTGTCGTTTATCCCAGCTGACGGAATCGAAGCGCTAACGCATGCTGACAACCTAAAGAAAAAGTTTACTAAAAATGTCAACGCGAACTGTCAACTTCACTTTCTATCGTGATCTAAGGTGTTTTTTCTCGGTTAAATTGGTTAAACCAGGTTGAACCTAATTCAAAACATTACATTTTCGCGTTGAACTAATTACGTCATAACAAAACTGTTTGAAAATATTTTGAAACGAGATTTCGCATCGGTTCAAAAACAAACGCATGCGCAGTAGTTTAGGAAAGTTGACAGTTTGTTATTTATATTTATATTTGTGTTGTGTCTTTTGCAGGGGGTTATAGAATCATAAACAGAACACTCTTACATTTTTTGAAAAATAGAAAATAGGCGACTAATAACCAGAAAAAAAAAACAAACAAAAATTCTAGGTTATGTATGGTTAAATTTTTCTGGTTTGAAAAAATCATTTTTTCTCGAATGAAAGTAATAACGTTATTTTTAAACGGGTTCAAAACAGATTTCAAAATTATTTCGAGCTGCTGGGCTCGAGAAAACACTTTTAGTCTATATTTTTTTGAACTTTGTATTCAAAAATGCGCCGATTTCACCTCTAGTTAAATGGACCACGATCACTCAGTATATAATTTTTTCTACGAGCGTGCGGGAAATGGCTCTTCCCGCACGATTTGCTGTGCGGGTGTGCGGGAAGAGATTTCTTCCCGCACTCAGTGCGGGAAAAGTTTGAAATAATCATTGTGACATGGAATTGTTTGTATTGTTGATACACCTATCCTATACCTGTATCTTTACCTTTTTATAAATACCTTTCAATACATTTTTAATTCTACCTTCTGCATAATCGCATATTATTCAAATTAAACTCTTCGTAACATCAGCTTTAGTAGGCTCGTAGAAAAAATATAGTTCCTAACTCATGCGGGAAGAAATTTCCGGCACTCGGGCGCTTCGCACCCTCGTGCCGGAAATTTCTCTTCTCGAACTCGTTAGGAAAATAGCTATTTTCTACTATCATCATTTAAAGTGTGTTTTTTTTTTAAGATAAAAGTCAAAATGACATTATGTTGGCAAAACCAATGAACTATAGCCAAAAACTGGAATGCGCGCAGATTGCCATATCTACCCAAAAAATGAAGCCATGAAAGACAGATGCCATAAGGGGGAATGTTGATTTTTTTCTGTTGCTCGCTGATATATGACGTTTTCGAAAGTTTTGTCATATTTTCCTTCACAGGTTTCATCAATTGGAATACGTGTTGGAAGCAATTTTCGCCATTTAACATAATGAGTGCGACAAAAACAGGTATCCCCTCCGCAGCAGCTGCACTAGGCTTCACGTTCTTCCTTATGTGTTAGCATTCCAGTTTTTGGTTATAGTTCATTGGGCAAAACAATGTAAAATTGTCAATGCTTTCCAATTTTTTATGTAGAAAAGGCTTGTGCTGCCAACATAGTTACTAAATTTTTGACTTGGGGAATTATCTTTAAAAAAAAAAACAGATTTTACAGCTTTTTTTTATTTTCTTTAATTAAATACATAATAATTGTGGTACACCCGGTAATGAAAATTTGAACCTGGAAAAAAAAACCAAATTATAAAAAGAAGTTAGGTTTGTTTTTTATCAGCATAAAGCCTAGTACCTACTCATAACTGCGAAATTCGCATTTTTTTGACATTGCTTCGACAATTTGACGTTTGATACACGCATAAAACGTCAAGTTGTCAACGCAATGTCAAAAAAATGCGAATTTCGCAGTTATGAGTACTAGGCTTTAGGATAGGAGTCAAAAGTTTGTTTTTTATTTAAAGATAATAGGGAACAATCATATTTTTCAAATTATTTTTCTTCTTATTGCTTATGTTTTCAAATATAAAATACATATGTTTTCTTTTGTATTATGTCCTCATTAAAATAAAAAGAATATATAAAATTTCAAATTATTTCCGTTGGCGCGAAAACGATTACCTTCAAAATGTCGGTACTTGTGACGTCAACTGTTTGTAAATACAACGTTAAGGTCTGTTCTCAAAAGAGTGTCCGACACTTTCCAAACTGTCAGAGAGAATCGCTCATCGTACCTTCGACTGCATTGAATGTGGATTTTACGTGCGGTGTTTCTGTATTTGGCGTATTGTGACATTTTATGTTTCATTTATTTTGTTATGATTGATACAGGATTTACATTTAAAGAAGCGCAGCCTGAAAATGTTCCCTCTATAGACCCATTTATGGTGGTTCAATATCAGTCGTGGCGTGACGTGAGCTGATCGTGGACCAATCGTTCTTCAGGACCCAAGACTGAACCATGAAAGCGTGGACCACGTTCGTTATTCACGATCAGTGTAAACTACCCTTAACCTTGGTTTATGAACAGTTGACGTCACCGAAAGCGGCCATGTTGAACGTAGCTTTTCCGCGCGAAACTTTTCAATTTGAAACTAATAATTGCCGTATGAGAGTAATATCGATAAATTAAATGCAAAACTGCTCATATTCAATATTTTACAGAAAAATGTGCACCATAAAAACAAAATGAACCATATTTATTTCTCATGAGAATTCCCTATTCCCCAAGTCAAAAATTTAGTAACTATGTTGGCAACACAAGCCTTTTCTACGTAAAAAATTTGAAAGCATTGACAATTTCACATTGTATTACCAATAATGTCATTTTGACTTTTATCTTTAAAAAAAAAACACACTTTAGGCACAACTTCTTTGTTAGGCATATAAATGTACTGTTCAAATTTGTAATAAAAGAAGCAGAAGCACTTGTTTTTAAATCAATACAACTTATTCTTATTAAACAAAAAAGCCTGTGTATAGGTGTCCGAGCCAAGAATCGTAAACTCTACAGGATTGCTCAATCCCATAAGACAAACGTTCATAAAAACATCGAAGCTGGCGGTATGCGAATGACGTCACGCAGTCCTTGATCAGTTTGTGTTTTATTATGACAGTGCACTTTCCTTGCATTTTCAAACGTGAAAAATTGTTATTTTGAGGTTATTTCCTTTGAAAACTGTATTTTGGAATTAATTAATTAATTTTAAAATTAGCAGACTTCAAAAGTTTATGTCCTTGAAGCTTGAGTGGTTGGTTAATT